ATGAATTAACCAAACATTTGTTAAACTCCCTTCTAAACCTCCTCTCTTTTTTTTTGAAATTCAAGAAGAGATTTTAATTAAAATCCATGATATTAAAACAAATTTACTTCATAATTCTGAAGAAATTGATAAACCGAAAGTAAGAAGATTACTTTCAAGCTCCAAAGAGGTAAAGAATTAATAATTATTTTTGAAAAATATTATTATACTTACCTTTTTTTTACTGTAGATAAAAAAAGAAGCACATTCAAACTTCCTTCTCATCATCGGGCTAAAATTATTATATGATTTAACTACCGAATTAGAATATACAACAAGTAGATTAAGGCTTTTGGATCCAGCATATATTCAAAAAATATCAGGTCCATATTGTTATTTATACTTAATAAAATTTAAATTAATTATTAATATTATTTAACTTATTATACTATAGAGTTTTGGGAAACCCTTTCTAAAGAATTAAGCAAATTAAAAGTAGTGAAAATTTTTGAAAAATGCGAATTATATGCTCAAGAATGTTATCTTGATTATATGGCAGAAAATTTGACAAAAATTAGTTGTTTAATTAATAATTTTTGCAGGCAAATTGTATTTGAAAGATTCTTAAAAACTTAGAAGTATTTTTAAGAAATATAAGACAGATATATCTTATTTAAATTACAAGGCTCAAAGATATATTCGGGGAGTTAGATATATTAAAGCATTTTTTTAAAAAATAATAGAAAAGGAGGTTTAGAAGGGAGTTTAACAAATGTTTGGTTAATTCATTTTCTCTATTATAAATTTTTGAAAAAAGCCTAAATCATTATTTACTGCTCAGTCTATTAAGCATACATTCATATAAATTTTTAAAGTTTATTAGTCTCAATGGCAAAATGCGCATTTGCCCATCTCTAGTCTCATTAGATGCTTAAATTTGTAACTTCAGGAAAGCGCTAACTTCAGTCGTGATATTAACATTTTTAATTGCTTAAAACTGAACTTATGGAAATAACATGACAATTCATGTTTATACTATCCTATGATCCACATCTGAGTTACGCCTACCTAAAATTATCAGCCAATATGTGCAATAAGTTCTACTTTTGAGGCCACTTTCGGTTAATTACGATTCCAATTGTAATAACTTCAAGTATAAAAATAATAAAATTGTTGTGGAATATTGATTTAACTTTTTTTAAATTTTTGAAATATTTAAATTAGTTTTGAAAGGTAAAGAAAGGTAGCAGCTCTATCATCAGAAAAAATAATTAGAAATACACACTAGTAAAGATGAGAACTAGTGTATAATGAATATTTTTTTATTATATATTTTTTATTTTTTAATTTTATTTATTAATGTTATGTTTAACATGAGAAAGTATCCTAAGAGAAAATTATTGTAAAAAATCTATTATGT